ATTAATAATTATTATATTACATTTATGTAAATTTATTTAGAACTGTAGTTCTCGTAGCAGTATATTACTAAATGTTGCTCCAAGTGGTCCATTGTAAAACTATGGAGCTTGTCATCCAAAATAAGTTTAAATGCAGAAAATGACCGTTCAACATCACAGGACGTCACAGGACAGTATTTAAACTTAAAGGCCATGTTGCTCGTTATTGTATTGGGCAGTACAGTACTTGTGCCATTAATGTAAGGGAATCGTAGCCGGGATTTTTGTTCAGTAATCGAGTAATCTTTGTTTTGATTTTTTCTGAAAATACGTCAGGCAGTTCAGATGCTGTTGTTAATAATCCCTCCATAACTTTTAATGAATTGTGTAGTAACAARTTTCTTGCTTCTAGACTTGTAATTAGTTCTGGTATTTTAGAAAAATGTGTAAAAATCAGATTTAAATCATATGTTGTATTGACGAGGTTTCAAATGCTTCCTTGGCATCACGGATTGATAAGGCTACAGAACTTTTGGTTAATTAACGCTTTTATTTCCATGAAATGTTCACTGTAGAAGCAAGCACTTTTGATCCAAGTGCCCCATCGCGTAATGACAGGTTCTGGTGGAAGTGGTCAAGTCGGCAATTGTTCCGTGTACGTTTGTATTCGCGATGGTGCTTTCATAAATACTTTCATCGTACTTTTTTCACGGCAGAAATAAGTTTGTTCACACTCAAAAACTCATTTCGAATTTCTTTAGCAAAGCGGTGAATAGCATAAGCAAAGCAAGTTACGTGGATCAAGTTCGGATAGAAAATTTTGAGGGCTACTCCAGCTTTCGTCGTATATGGAGCTGCATCAGAAATAAAAATGCAAACTCTCTCAGCAATAGAAGTATCGACAAAAAATGCGGTGATACTGTCGTTTATAAATCGAGCTATAGTTGAATGGTTGACTTTTTCAAGTGCTTTAGAAGCAATGAGATATGCTGGAGAAGGTTCTAGGCCCTAGAGGAATGTTACTCGCTTTTAATGTCTCTCATAAATAATTGTTGAAATTATCCTTGCGWGTTATACTGTTAGTACGAGGCTGTGATATAAGCGCCTGGCTACCAGAAGTATGGGTTGTCTTACTTTTTTTTTCAGAGGCTGCTATATGAGTTGCTGTTCGTATATGCTGGACAATTTGAAACTTTTTTGAACACGGCACTTTTTTCTTACATATCTGGCAGTACACAACTATTCCGTCAGTAGTAATTACTACGTTTAAACGTCCCTGGATATTCATTTATCCAAACACGAATATGTGTATTTTTAATAGGAGGCATCTTATAAAATAAATTAATATCTTAACGTGTACGATTTGGTGATTCGTGAGAGACTGAAATGTGAAAATATAAAAATTATAATATATATAAATATAAAAATAAATACGAATTGATTTTGTTCGAGGCACGTGCAAACGATTAAACGATATCTTATCGAGTTTTCGATAAGATATATAAATAACGACAGCAGTAGAACTAGTCCGGTCAATTAGTTCGGTCGGTATGACGTATTATATGTCTATATAGTATGCGTTTTAACACAGTTTGATCAGTGTGTTTTTTGTTTAAAAATACGATTTTATGCCATTTACATCGTGATCAATGAAATATGCATACTTGGTAAAAAAATACGATTATATGCAAATGCATATGCAGATATATGCATATAATTCGCGGTCTATATCATAAATTATTTTATGCTAGAAATTCATTAAAAATGTTCCTTTATATCTTAGAATTTAAAATTTTATATAAGGTTCCTAACATATTTTTACAATAGCAGGTGAAAAATAAAAGGAATATATTAACACAATTTTTTTTTACAAGCATTCAAAGTTTGAATTTTGACAACATGTGTAAAWATCACGAAAATTCGCAAATTATTTTAAACTAGAAATCCATAAAAAATTTTCTTTTTAAATCTAAGATTTGACAATTTTTAATAATCTATTATATATTCTATACAGATAAACCGTCTTCGCTCAGAATCGTTTTTCTTATACAATGATATAATATCATTGGATTCAAATTTAATTCCATCCATTACAGCAACCAACTTGTAACCTACTGTACAGCAGAGCGACATCCACGACTTACCCGCCTTTTTTTAATATTATATCAATATATTATCTATCATTGAATTATAATTGTTATCGTATCATTAAATAAATTCATTATTTTATATTCATGCAATGTATTTATTGCCATATAGATGAATGGGCTATAATAAACCAGTTAAAAAAAAAAAATATTATGGATTTACATATTGCTTTCAACTTTTTTTTAATTTTCACTAACAACTTATGAAGAATCATTAAGTTTTTGTAAATAAATGTTATCAATAACATTTTTTGTTTTAAACTGATATAATTTGCAATATTCATTTAACTATAGGTATATTGCTCAATAAAAGTCAACATAGTCTTGAAATTCTATGGATACATAAAAATTTCGAATATAAACTTTGGTTAAAAATTGCTCATTCAACGGTAATTTTTTAAGAGTTGCTCCAAAAACCAAAATAGATTGAGTTGAAAATCAATATTGTGTAAAAATTCTTGCCTTTCCTTAATTTATTATATTCCTTTATTATTGATAGGTAAAATTTAATTATAATAATATGTAATTGTAGTAACTCTTCTTTCACATTGAAAACGGGAAAATGGAACTAAAAGTACTATTATTACTATTATCAAATTTAGAAACAAATGTAAATTTCAAAACGTAATTTATTTTATTTTGTCGTTTATTTGGCTAATCGGATAGAAATAGTGGTATAATTATTCTTTCTAGCATGAACAAATGATTGAATAATATTAAAATTTAATCTTAGATTTTGAGTTGAGCGTTGAATTTATTGATTTTACAATGTTAAATTTAATTATTTTTTTGCGTGTGTGGAAAAATAAAAATAGGGACACTGAGAACCTATCTGCTGTACAGTAGATGTACATGATAATTGTAAAAATTTGTTTGTTTTGAATTTAATAAATCTATTTATTAAGACATCGTTATGTACGAAAAACGAATTCGAATGAAGATTCTGAATTATTTTTAGCAAAAAACATTGTATTTGCATACCTATTTTTTTGGAATGATCTTTGATTTTATGGTAGCAGTAAACTAGATCCTCTATCTATGAGGGACTTGGTATATTCAAGTCTTGTCTTACCTAAAATTGAATATTTTGTTTATTTTTAACTACAAACTACATTGCGATTTTGTATTATTGGAAGTTTAAATCCTTATAAACATTAATTGTTCATATGTGTCGCTAATATTTTTAAATAGCAATACTAGCAACTTATGAGGACTAACTTGTATTATTTCATGATTCTATTAAGTGCTTAAACTTTTTTTGTCCATATGAATATTTTTTTTGTATTGAAGTTAAAAAAAAAATAATATTAGTTAAAGTAAGTCTAACCAAGGTTACCAACCATTTTTTTAAATAATAATAATACAATTATAACACATTTTCAATTTTGACGCCAAGCGTTACCGACTAGGCATAATTTTCTACCAAAAACCTCCATCAAAAATTATAATAAGGCATTTTTTTTTCTAGAAAAGTTGAGAAGTTGAAGTTCTACTTACTCTTTAAAATACCTCAACTAAATGATATAAATCTACTGGACAAAATAAAAATAAAATTTTT